TGGGCTAGTAACGAACACGGTTAACGTCTAACTCTGATCAATCTAGGGATTTCGCGCGACCTCATCCATTTGTCTACGGTAGTAAGTGCCCACGACCGACATCACTGAACTCCACTGGTCACGTCTCCCCTCTGGAAATCCGACAATTTCCTCACGAATCTAGTCATGAGTGAGCACAATATACAATTTTTCAATCAGAATTATGGAGATCATTGTTTTTATATATTGAAATCATGAATCAATCTTTGGTACATTTATCATCATAGTTGTCAAATATGATCGACTTTTAGCATCAAGGAAATTCGGTTTGATATTTACTGAGAACGTTTCATTGTAACTCTCTGGAAATCGTTTACTGTAATTATAAAATTCCACATAGTTTTGAAGTTAATTTTTATAATAGTCCAACCGTTTTTTTGTTTAAATTGAATCAGCCTTATAGCTTTCTAGTTGCATTTCAACATTTCGTTAAGTACGTTAACGGTAAAGTATTCTTTCACTCACTAAGTAGGAATATTACTTTATTTGCCATTAATGTCCACATAAAAACACTCAAAAGAAAACATTTGTTACATTTAGAGTACACACACACAAAGTATAAAATAATATTTTCTTAAACTATAGCAAAACTGAACAAAAAAGGTTTTACAAATAAATGTATGTATATATATAATATCGAAAGTAAGGATTAAATGTGCCCCTTTTTAATTTCATATTGTTATAACTCACCACCATATTACAAAAAGATCATTTGTAAAATTGTCTCATAAAAAAATAAACGCAATAAATTTACATTACTAGCTAAATTTCAATTATAAGCAATAAAACAAGAAAAGTCTTTTTTTTTAAAAAAAAAACAGCTAATAAACACAAAAACACTCAGTTCAATGTTTCAACATTGAATAGGAATATCACAGAATATTTTCAAAGTATTAGTTCCCAGTCAATTTGAATGCATACATTAGCACCTAAGTGTGACCTTGTTTATTGACTAAATAAAATAGTCATCTTTTTGTACACGTGTAGATTACTTACACATGAAATCCATGTGTGTAAATATATGTGAATTTTTATGTACATTATATCTAATGCGAAATTTTTTTTAAAAATAAACTCTTCATACTGAAAATCATTTAAAAGTAGTATGTTGTATATTTGTAAATATATAATTGATCAATTCACATGAATGCATTAAATTAAATGATTTTAAACAAAATTAAAAATTACTGTTGCTTAGAATTTATAATGGCTAACAATTGAAACAAGTAGGTATGTTAGTGAAATGTTACCCAATTTATTAAAACTAAGGAAATCACTTTTTTTTTAATAAAATTATTACTTTTAAACAATATAGATAAAATTATTGTTTGGAAAATATGAATTGAATTAAATCAGTGAACATTTAACAGCACCAACTCACATTCAATGTTTGCAAATTTCAATTAAATTGTACAAAACCGAAAAAAATTCAAAGTATCTTAATTAAATGGAATTCATGAAGTGTTCACACGACATGAAGTCATTAAAACCTGGTTTATAAATAATGAACAAAGTTTTACTATTTCTATGATATATATATAAAAGAATAATTTGATCTTTGAAAGTATTTGAAGAATTTTTTTCCTATTTTCATCATATTTGACTGACAACATTTATCGATCGATGAATTAAATACGATCAATAATTCTAGGTAGGGTTTGAAATAATGGGACTGCTTTTAATAGATTGTCATACACAACTTTTACACAGCTTTTACCCAAAACAGGATAAGGTCTTGACTGTGCCAAGAAATAATACACAGTTACCTGATTGTGGTGTCTGATAATTTTTGTGAATAGAATTTCTTTGGTTTTGGATTGATCAATGCTAACTGATGTTAGGATATTCATCCAATATCCTAAGAGAATTATTGGTCAAATCCTATTTGTCAGTTTCTATTGGTCAAAATCACGGTCGTTATAACTGTCAAAGTCAAATACTTCAATGTTGTCGCTTATTAGTCATCCGGACTGTCAATGTCATTTCAAATGTTCTTTCTTATTGGTTGTCCTGACTAACAGTGTCACTTCAAATGTCACTTCCTTGGTCATCTTAACTGTCAATGCCACAGAATTCGATGCTGTTTCCTATTCGACCAAAATGTATAAATACGCATTATCTGTAACAGTTCATGACCACAACGAGGACCAGGGCTCGGTCCCGGATCCCTAGTCTGGGATCCTGATTCTCTTCTGCATTCGGACCTCGTACTTTCTGGATGCTTGTAGAATACAAGTTCTACTTCATATCAAGTCTTCTTATTTTTACTTATTATGGGGGGGGAGCTGGGATAATTGGATTTGAGTGGTATGTCGTGTCACCCGATCCTCGCTCTCGTTTTCCGACTACGAAAACTCGTCGTAATATAAAACAATTAGTCCCTTTTATAAATTTTGATAGAACAGTGAGAAGACGTAATTGATCTGATCACATTTTTCAGATCAATTACGTCTTCTCACTGTTCTATCAAAAAAAAACTCGTAATAGTTCATGTATATCAAGTTGACGTGTTTACGTGCAGGCGTAACAACTGATAAACGCGAACATAATATAATTCGTTATCAAACAAGTGAAATTGTTTCATTCATTTTTATTTAGTGTAAGATTTGTCACAGATAGATAGATAGATATTTGTTATATCTCACATGTTTAAATTCCAAAAATTCATTTCTATGACTGGTGTTACCTAATGTCATTGATACTATCTCTACTTGAATAACTCTAGCATCTGTCAGTGTACTAATTTCGTGTAGTAATTTGGACCAATGAACAAATATGCTAGAGTTTAAGTTAAATATGAGTGATTTAATATGATATTTGATCATAAATCTTCGATCAGAACATTATTTCTTATTTTTATATAACTTGAAATATACCATAATATGTAACTGTTATTTTCTCATTTCAGATCTATTGCCGGATCTGAAGTTTTTTAAAATTATCTGAATTTCAACTTTGTACCATCTCTACAAAGAATATCAATCAATCAATCAGTCAGAGTCGTTCGATCGATAATTTTTTTCAAATTTCCATTCATATATACACTTTCCACTGATCACTTTGTCTTATTTCATTGACATTTCTAGTTCAATGTTGAATTAATTTCCTATTTATTCACTAATTGCAAATGCAATCATAACAATACACAGAAGTGAATTTTTAGGAACGAACGAAAATACATTATTCAAATAGGTTTCCAGAATTATTCATATTCTCGATGAGCAAACATATGTATACATATATATCGTTTATTTCAATTAAACCAATCATTTTATGCTTACAGCTACAAAAAATATCATATAATTTCTAGTTTAAAGTATAAATTGGCTTTGTTTTTGTTAGAAATCTTTTTTTGTTTTTTGGAAAAAACAAACTGCTTTTGTTTTAATGTGACTGTGCGTTTATTTAAACAAAACAAAACATAATAAAACAGAAAAAAAGTGATTCCGATGAATTAACTGATCGCTTCTTAATAGTTGTTTACATTGTTCAACGTATATATATATTCTCACTGACTATTGTATATTAATGCATTAATTATTTATATGGGTTATTATTATTATTTTTCTTTTGTTCAACAGAAAATAACATTAGTTGTATTTATATTTTCTTTTAAATGGGTTTTTTTCATTTACTACAAGTTGGAATCATTGAAAAGTTGATTGAAATGAAAAGAATTTCCAAACTAAAACCCCAAGATGTTTTGTTTCGCTTTTATTTTCATAGATAGATAAAGTACCAAAGGTCGAATCTAGTCTTCAGTGCAATGACACTGGTCAGTCAATAGAAGACGATTGATTATTTTGAAGAATAAGAAAGAAAACGGTTTACAATCGATGGATTTTCATATAAGCTACATTCTCAAATTTGTTTAGTTTGAACTCATGATATTTATGTAAATTTAATTAGTCAAACACGTGACATTGTACACTGTTAATCTTATAGAGTAAATCGTAGGATAGTAGATTAGTTGATCCGAATAAGCATTATTGTTAATCAGTTAAACTGTTGTGTTAAATCTCAATCTAGCTACTTCAGTTGCATAACCAACTGATTGTTTGTTGTTATTACAAGGTTGTGGACATCGTTGAGTTTGAATGAAGTAGTAAATCGACTCGGTATTCGACCACCATTAGAAACTTGAAAGTGATGGACGGCCGTGCTCACTAGTGACTAGATTCGTAAGTGAATTCTCGTAGTTCTAGTGAGACGTCGCGAGCAGTGCAGTTCAGCTGAGTCAAGTGTGAGGTAGTTATCTACCGAAGACAGTGGATTAGGTCACGCAATACCATGGATTCGTTGACGTTAGACATCGACACCATAGGATCCAGGCTCATTGGTCTAGAGGTTAAGCGTCCGCACAAAAGACCGAAGGTTCTGGGTTCGATTTCCGTATGCAGAATTCATGGACGAGCACTATTGACGAGTCCAATACCAGGACTAAATTGCTGTCCAGGTTTGTAATGGTGGTCTAACAATGATTGACTGATAATTTCAATGTGTAAAAACTCTGATTTCCATAGCTTAAATTAAACAATTCTTCCTGTATTCATCTACTCAATCATGTATTTAGTGTCCTTCAAAACAGATTAAGATGAATATCGCTGTTGTGATTTCAGTTGTTCCAGTAAATTAAAACAATGTGAACCACAACAATTTATTTATCTACACTACTACATATAATTAACAGCATAAGTGTTAAATGAGATGATAAATTGTTTCCTATACGCAAAATACCCTCGCATTGTTGAGACATTTCGATTTCTCCAACTTATATTGTCTAATTAATTTCCCTAATAATAGATGCTACTACTTTATCTCAATTTGCTATCCAGCCTACGTTAATATAATGTGACAACTTGGGCTAATGACTTGTACTAGGCTTTGCCTTGTTCATGAGTGACTTCTTAACCATAAACACTTGATATCATTTCTATGAAGAAAAAAGTAATAGTCGCTTTTTTTTAATAATTGAGTCTATTTACTATTAAAATAACGCTTAGCGCAAACTATCGAAAAATCATCCATAAAATACAAGTCCGATAGATATGAAATTAATCTTTACTGTAAATTGATAAGATAGATAGATAGATAGACTGGGTCTACACGACCTGAATGAGATGAAATGCATCTACTGAGGCTTCAAAATATTACAATCCAACATCAGCTGTGTTTTAATCTTCTTCGATATAATGACAGAGAGAGGAAAAAAATGGGCAAATTACCAAAAGATGATTTTATATTTTCAAATCTGATAATTAAAAAAAAAAAATAAACGAATACAAAGATAATCCAAATTATTTACAGAAAAATGACAATTTATTTTAAAAACTAAATTATCATCAACAATGATATCTTTTTAAAAAAAATCATATTTTTATTATTACAATGAAGAAGCAATAAGAAAAAAAAATAGTAGGTAAGTAGCTAAGTAGGTGAGGGAATTGAAAAATTGATATTCATTGTCAATAATCATCTGGAGCACGTGTTTCATAAAACTGACCTCCATGATTATCGACTGCAGCAATGTTGTGAATATTGCTGTTGTTATTCATAACAGTATGATGTTGTACATCGACAGGGTTATTGCTGTTATTGTTATTACTAGTCATACTATTATCCGACTTGACACCATGTAATTGTTGATAATTGTCGTTGTATGAAATATTCTGATTGTCAGGTAAACGTTTTACCACATAGATTGTATCACCAACACATGTCATAATGTATATTGCATGATCAAAATGTACTAGTAAATGGTAAACGAATAAAGGGAAGAAAATATAAGAGAAAATTAGTGTTATCATTATTAGTTTTATGAAATTAATTTGTTTTACAAATAATATAACACATCGTTATGACAGCAATGAAGAAGCATCAGTCAATCAATAGCAACGTAGAACTTCGTACTTACGAACGTAGCTTATTGGCGCAGAGATGTAATTGTCAATTCAAATCCCATAGTAGTAGAGGTAGTAAAAGTATTAGCAGTATTCGGAGAGATTAGGGTTAGAAGATATTATTAAAGAAGTAGAATCTAGTGAAATTAAGTCAAAAAGAAAAAGATAAAGTGATGAGGATTTAGGAAGGTTGAGATTTGAGAGAACACAATGAATGAATGCATCTGCACCATCGCAAACGATTCTGAGCAATGTCATTCAGGGTCTCTCACTATCGATTACTGTCATCTCGCGGACACCAAACAGGTAGTCTACATAGACCAACATGACTCAATCCACTTGTCAGTGATTTCATGGATTTCTGCCATGTTTTGGTCTGGCTGCCCCTGGCTTTCTTCCAACCTACTCCTACATCGCAAAACATAGCTAGACGAGGCAGTCGGTGATTAGGCATACGCAACACATGTCCCAACCACCTAAACTGATGGAGTTCCATTACTTCATCTACTGATTTGCCATTCTTACCTAGCACCCGTTTCCTAATAACAGCATTGCTTACTCGATTGTCGATTGAAGATGCATTGAAATCATAGTTTTGGTTAAGACACATTGTTTGCTTAACATAAAAATCAAGCATCTTATTTAAAACAACTTTAAATTAGGAGATTAAAATGAAAATGGAATAGTGGCAAGAAGCCAGACACTATGAACTAGTCAACTTGACTGATTCAGTAAGGTTGAATATGCATTTTAAAATATGAAAGGTGAACAATAACAACTATTCGATTGATTCAAACGTTGACTAATGAGTCGAAACCGAGTATGAATAGCATTGTGTTTGTTGCAATTATTGATTGTGTAGGTCTATGAAAAAAAAAGATCTTTTGCTTATCGTCGTAGTGAAAGATAAGTTAGAAAATTTTCTCAACGTCTTAAGATTTATAACTCAATTTGGTCGATGATAACTACAAAATTACAAACCCCAAATGAACTACGAAAAGGGAACAGCTTTGAAAATCTCCTCACGTTTCATAGGAATGATTTGTTTTGAGGATTCAGAATGTGATTGATTGTTACCAATAGTTTTTTAGTGATTATTTTGTTGATCTGTCTGTAAGCAGTAGCAATACAACTAACAGCGACAAACATAAAATATGTCATCGCAATGAGTTACGGAGAGTTATTCAGTAAAACTATTACAGGCCTCAATTTGAGAGACCAATCCTATAAACAACCATAACTTTAGTGTATTACGCTATCCAAAACGCGACAGTTACTAAGGCTGATAATCAAGTTCCCTTTTATTAAGACATTTCGTAGCAGCGTTTTTCACTGAAAGACGTATTGAAGGAGTACAAGTAGTAACCAAGTTAATAAAACTGAAAATCTCCATTGAATTGGGTGGTTCGAACAGGTCTGACACATGTTCAGCCAGTCCAAACCGGATGTAGGATGTTAAATAGGATAAAATTACATTCGGAAATGCTAGTATGAGTCCTGATTACGATGAGATTAGTCAATAAAGTTACTAACTGTTGTATTTCTACGTGTTTTAATAAGAATTTTCTGGTCAAAATCTGCAAGACAATCGTGATCTACGGTTGAGACCTCAGGTTACATGAACCAAGTTGGCTTCAGTGGTACAGACACGTTTATTTGCTACCTTTCTATACAATTTCGATTTTAATATTATTATGCATTTTTCATTGCTTATTTTAATCGTAATTTTTGAATAACATTTTCTTTAGTTGATTTTTCTTTACTACTGATATTATTATACCAACTCTTTTGATTTTGATTTCTGCCTGCTATGAAGTATAAATGCAAGTGACTGTCTGATAATGATATTTGAAAAGTTTGGCCTGTTTAGTATACTGTAACGAGTGACCACAATGAATCAGAAGGAACAATGACTGAATTTTAGACACTAACTAATGATTCTACAAAGTAACATTTAATTCATTTGATTAGGCCATTGATGCATTTAGATCCCTTCTGAAGCTTGTGAAAGAAATGACTGAGTGCCACCCGCCAACCAGACTAGATTCCCTATTCATACAATCTAGTAAAGAATAGCTAGAAGATAGTAGCATATAACATAGAAAATAGTTTGGTACAGTTCAAAATTTTAAGATCTTTACAGCAAGCTTTGAAGAACAATGAACAGGAAGTTAATATTTATAGGCCACAGAGTGGAGACAGTCCACCCTCCTTCTCGAAACGCCCTCATATGACCATGAGTATGTAGCCTTCGTTAGGGAAGTCCTACTCACTGCCTTCTCGTGGCACAGGTGTTGTTTACGAAATTGAGAAGATGAAAAGTGAGTGTTTGGAGCTTTGGTCGGGCTGGTGGAAACAGATGATTCATGGGACTGCAACTCCTGACGTTGCTCCACTGTCTTGTGGACTAGGGCTCTTGATAAGAGGCTTGGAGTATGACCCCTTAAGAAAACCATCTGCTTCGATTTGAGCACCCGGGTAGTATTATGACCAACACACAAGCCACATAATGACTATAGCTGGAGAATTGTATACTCACTTCAACAAATCGTACTTAAAATTATTTGAAAACGATCGTTCTCACTTTACATTGCGTTACTTGTTCATTCCTGTTTCGGACATTCTTTACTCTTCAACTCATACATCAGCTCGTCTATGGTAGAAATCTTGTCCTATCTAAACGATTTGAGGCTACTGATTGGTTAAAGTTTAAATACTACCACCGAATATGAATTCCGAATCGACCTTCCTGAAACCAAGTATGTCATCCTAACTGGTTTGCCACAACATTCACACACTGATGCAGATCAGACAACAGGCAGGGTGGATAAAGTCTTCAGAAAGTCTTAACATTGATGGCTGTTGTCTGTCTGAGACCGTATTCAAGACTCCAGTGACGTAATACACATTCACTATACATCTGCCGCTTCAAAAGCCTGTTTCATGTGCGTTTATCCAGCATCTTCATCTGGTCTTGCTAGCGTTGGTGTCTCAGTAAGCACTAGAGTTGAAGCAGTGCCAATCGATTGAATACCCATTAATAGTTCATTAGATTAGATTCGAAAACTCCATCAAAGTGAGAAGAAATCGATGTGAGAAAAGACGCTTTTTTGTTATTCCACGCCCCCACAGATTGCGGCCTGTACTAGCAGTTTAGTTATCGTCAGAGAGTGCGTTTAACAGATATCGTAGTACTAGCCGATTTTATTACACAGGTCGGGCGTCTAAGCACAGAGAAGAGTTAACTGGGTGGCCAATGGGGACCTGTTGGTTCCAGGTCAGATGATGGAGATCGTCTACTGCAACTGTGCACAAACAGCCTACCTTTAACTAGCACTAACTGTCGGTAGTCATCGCCGGTGTGCTACATGGCGTCGTCCCGTTGCACCTTAAACTTGGACTCAGATTGATCACATCAAGACCAGCTACCGCTGTTGTGGTTGTGCACAAGACTGCCGCTGCTTTTGGGGTCTTATCTGGAATTTGACCTTGCACGATGATGACGAAAGGCCGTTACGTAATCAAATAGTAAAAAGTGTGCGAGAGAACCGAGAAACCTGGTGGTCGGAGCGTGCTAACGAGTTGAAAGCAGCGACTGCATTTGGTAGCTTTCGGAAGCTTTTAGGATTCATACGAGTCACTGTCCGTAGAATGGGTGGTGTGAGTGGAACAATCTGTGAAGCTGATGGGACGCCAATCAACAATATTCATTGACATCTGGGACGATGGACAGAATTTTTCAAGGAACAGTTCAGCTGGTCTGCTTCCCCGGCACGGTCAATCAGATTGTTCTGTCTCCTATAGCCGGTGACAACTGACTCACCTAATGAGATGGAAGTCCGCAAAGAACTCCAACTCTCGAAGCGCTGCAAAACACCACGCCCAGACGACTTACCTTCGAGTCTCCATAAAGATGGTGTCGGCCTTGCGACTATACGACCGACTAAACTGCTTGAAGTCGTTTGAGAATTAGACAGTATCCTAACGTCGTGGAATGAAACGATAGTTGTCCCTACCTTTAAAAATGGTTCACGTCCTTCAACAAATATCAGGGGACAAGTCTACCACCGAACGGGTCAAAATTATTGGCTTACTTCACACTTCGTAGATTGTTCAAAACATAAGAAAAACTGACTCGTGAGGAGCAGGCCTGTTTTCATTCTGGTCAATCTTATAAGTGGGCATATAGAAGTAGTAAAACAGTTTATGTGCTTCGGAAGCCGTATAAGCGCTAATGGTGGTGTGAATGATGAGATTGATTCATGCAATGAGGGCAAGAACTGCTCATACCAACCTCGGCCACCTTTGGCGCCTTAATGATGTTAGTCTGGCGAGAGCATTTTTGCTCTATGCTTGTGAAACCTGGCCTCTTCAAGTTGAAAATATTAAAAAGCTTTCTGTGTTTGATCACCGTTATCGCCGAATGATTGTTAGCATTCAGCGGTAACACCATGTTAGTAAACTGGAGATTTGGCGACGAGTGTTCGGGCACAGCAAAGATAAATTCGATTGGTGTCACTACCTTGAAACACTGACTTTAGTGGCTTAAACATGTACTATGAATGTCATACCGGCGAATCCCACATCGCGCATTATTTGCCAAGGCTGGGACTGATTGTAAAAAGCGGTGTCCAATGTATGACATGGTGTCCCGATATGAAAGAAAAGTGGACAGGACTTGTATCTCTTGGTCCTTCACGACCTCTTTGTTGGGTTTCTAAAGATGATGCGACTCAGTGGCTCAACACATTATTACACATGACCACTGGTGGTCCTGAAGTAACTTTCTTTCATATTCTTCAAACAAGCAAGAGTAATGTATTTGACTGAAAGGATTCCTTCTGATTGTATTTCCCTTTGTTGAACTGTTTCTCCCACTATAATTGCTATTATTTCACTCTCATATCTATTTTTTCCTTATTTATAATATTCTCACCCTATCTTTTCATAACATTTTTATTGCGTGGCGTATAAATATTTTAGTGCCTACTTGTACCACTATTTGTTCTAAATGAATAAACAAATAATATCTACTAAGTCAACCACTTTTAGTGCATCCTTTCATTAGGAGGAATACTTTGATGCAGATGTTAATTTGTATGAAAGCATTTCTACAACCTCTTAGTGAGGCTAAATATATATTCCTTTATAAGTGATTGCGTCATGTCTAACACTAAAAAATTAGCGACTTCCTTTCCTGTCTTATTCAAGACGACCGACATGAAAGAGAACTCTCAACCCGGTATATTTCGATTAGATAACAAACGATATCAAAACAGTAACCACTGGGAAGAAACAACCAAGACAATAAATTTCAACTCACCAGTTAATCTTTTAAACTGCTGAGTTTTTCTTTCACCTTCCATATTTAACAAACGACCAACTCGATTAGCAATTGCGGCAAAATGTTGAGCCAGTTCCTTGTTATTTACTAGTTCACCAGCTGACTGTAGAACTGACCCATCAGGGCTGATAACTAACGTACCAAGCCAGCCTGGCAGTCGATTTAAAACAGCTAATGGTGTAACTACAGATCCATGAGATGAAGACGTCGGCATAGGGAATGCTGAAAGTAAGATTGAATAGAACCATGATAACATTTTTGTTAACGGAGGTTACATTACTTGCGTTTAGGCGGTCAACCTTTAGGCACACGTACGCATCTAGTGATAGTGACGAAAGCTTTAAAATAATTTACCGAAATTATGTTAATAGCTTCCAGTGTCACTTGGATGTTTTATAAAGAAGTGACGAAGAAGATCAAACTTTGTTTTAGTGCAATGAAATATTAATGGTATTGTAACTGTTTGAGGATACGACAGTGTTATCCATGATTTATATCTCAGGAGACAGATTAAATCCTGTATCAACTAGGCAAGTTCAGTCAGTCAGTAATATCGTAACAGTGCACAATAGTGACTAGCCTCGTGAGAATATTCTCGGAGTTCTAGTTGAGAAGACGTGACCAATGGAGTTCAGTTCTGTCAGGTGTAGGCAGAAACTACCGAAGACAAATGGGTGAGGTGGCGCGAAATACCTAGATCAATCAGAGTTAGACGTTAACACCGCTGGGTATCGGCCCAGTGGTCCGATGGTTAGGAGTTGGCGCACAATACCGAAGGTGCGGGGTTTGAATTCTGAGTAGTGCAGGTGTCGTGCATGCGCACTGCTGATGAGTCCCATACCAGGACGAAACGGCCGTCTCTCAGTGCTTCCAGGTTTGTAATGGTGGTATTATAATGATTGATTGATGATTTCAAATGTGAAAAAACACAAACCTCAAAAACTCTGCCCCAAAATACTAATTATTGCCGCTTAATTTGTCAAATAACATAAACCAACAGTTATTTTGTTGTTTAATTCAAAACATCACTAGTTTCAGTGCTTTGTTTATTGATTAAAGATCAGTAATACATGACAAATGATATTTTATTATAGGGTTGTGAAGATTGTTGAGTTACACATTCGAAATCAAGAATTGATCAAGGTTAGACCATCATTAGAAACCCGGAAGCGCTGGACGGTCGTTACGTCCTGGTATAGGGCTCATCAGCAGTGCGCATCCACGATTCCTGCACATACCCAGGATCCGAACGCAGGACCTTCAGTCTTGCGCAAGACCGTGAGTTGGTCGAAGTAGTCATTAACACTGTTGGATATCGGCTCGCCGTCCATAGGCTAAGCGTTCACGCCGAAGACCGAAGGTCCTGGATTCGAATCCTGCGGGGTGCAGGAGTCTTGGATGCGCACTGCTGATGAGTCCTATACCAGGATGAGAAGGCCATGCAGTGCTTCCATGTTTCTAACAGTGATCTAACATTGATTGATGCATGATTTGTATTTAGGTAAGCAATGTTACTCATTGTTGACTTTAGTAGTTACTATAATTATATATATTTATTAATATTATCTTAACTGATTCAATTCAATCTGATTTTACAGTAAATATTTTTTTTAATTAGAAATATTTACACCAGCTCAGAGAACGAAACACCGACACAATCATATCCACCTGAGCTTACAAATTTTCTTCACCATTTGAAAATCTTTACTGTGATAAAACACATCAACAAGATAAATAATCTGTTCCTGCCTTTATTATTCTGAATACTTTTAGATTAGTTGTCGATATTTACCTCTGACTAACTGAAATATGATTTTGATATTCTTAGTGAAATGAACATCGTTTCAAGTTTTTTGTTTTTTCAATATAACAACTAACAAATGCACAAAAAACAGAACTCCATTCAACTAGATTGTTCTCCTTTTACATAGACATTTGAAAAAAGTTTTATCATTTGGGATTTTATTTTTTTTTCCCAATTTAATCGATCACAGAATAAATATTTCTTTTCAATGAAGTTAAAACAATCTCGCCTAGTTGAATGAAGTACATTGTTTTTGGAATGTGATGTATTAAAAACAAATGTCGAAAGAAATCGTCCTCCCTAAACTACATACCATTTATGATTGAATATCAAAGTTGCATATTAATTAGAGAAATGGCAAAAAAATCTCGATCATGTTTAATATGGTGTTCGACTTATTAAATTATTCATTTTTGAAACCATGAATCGATCATTGTTAGACTACCATTAGAAAACTGGAAGCACTGAAAGACGACTGTTTAGTCCTGGTATGGGACTCATCAGCAGCAGTGCGCATCCACGACTCCCGCACCCCGCAGGACTCGAGCCCAGAACCTTCGGTATTGTAGGCACACGCCTAACCATCGGACCACTGAGCCGGTATCTAACGGTGTTAATGTCTAACTTGATCAAATTCACGGAGTTGCACAACCTCATCCACTGTCTTCGGTAGTTATTGTCTACACCCGAACAGGTTGAACTTCACTGGTCTCGTCTTCCCACTAGAAATCGGAGAAGATTACTCGCGAAGCTAGTCACTAGTGAGCACAGGTAATTTGCATCACGGGGTTGTGAAGATTGTTAAGTTACACATTTTTGAAACCATGAATCGATTAATCTTCACAACCCCGTAATGCAAATTATTAAATTATTGTATAATCTGATCAATTTATGTTTTGAACGACTGAAAAACTATACTGCCTTAAGATGTTCAACAGACATTTATTAGGTTTTGTTATTGAAAGGGGAAAAGAAAGTAAAGCTTTTTATATTCTTCAAACCAAGGAGGAATAATAAAATCATCATTTAATTTGAAATACACAAATAGATATTTGATCCAGTCAATTGATTACGGTATGAAGTAACTTAAATCACTCAAAATACAGTATGAATAAGCAGACAATGCTTAACTGAATTAGGTAACGAAGAAATAATCAATGACCGAAATTTTATGTACACAAACAATTCTGAATTGAAATTAAAAGCAACTAGCAAAATTATGTACATATGTCCAAAATATAGAGCACATGACCAAAGTTTCTAAAGGTTCACTTACTGGTTGTTAACTACTATACAGTGGAATAAAGATTAAACTTATTTCTCTCTGCATCAAAATACAATAACGTCTTCGAATCATGAAACTGCTCAAATTCCAAGTTAGATTACTACAACTTTTTTTCGCATAAAAGATATATTTAAATAACAAATGTACAGAGCGTACTATTGAACACAAATAAACTAAGTGAATTAATGTAGAATTTGCTTAAAAAAATAACCTTTCTATAGACTCAATGTTTGAGTTATATTTTGAAAATGGAAATTTATTATCAACCTGAAACTCTTGTCACTGTAGTACTCGACTTAAAATCATGATTTACCATTTATGGATTTGAAGATTTATGTCAGTGGAAATATCAGATACCTTTGTCACAGGATTTTGAGGCTTACTGTTTGGGGGATTCGATATACAGATCTCGCTTGATAAATGTTTGTATTTTAGATTTTATTGATGGACTGATCAGTTAACCTTGAGATTACATTTCCCACCAGGAAAATCATTGACTGTGATTAGTTATTGTGTTATTTTAGTGTGCAGCTTTTGTGACTCTACCAAGGACGTCTCTATGGTGTAAAAATAAACGAGATTTGTGTGCTTGCTGGGTGTTTATAGAATTCACTTTCTACGATATATCAAAACTTCTCGTTAGTTCCTTTGCGTCAACGAATCAGAGTAGCCGACTTAAACGCTGGATCATTGTCTCGTTCTCATTTATCAACTAAGGTGATCCCGTAACAGTTTCAAGCGTAACTAGTAACGAGCATAACACTTACTTTAGTTTCACGAATATAACCTGCCCTAACCCAATGATAATTAATTTTCTTGATACCCATCGAACTGTGTATTTGGTGACTTAAATATATTCTTGTTTTAAAGACAAATGCCACAAGTAATGATTGAGTATCACTTCGCCTAACTGATCATTCACATTTCACATCATACTATTGAGATTTAATGGAACAAGCGCTCAATGCTTTTCATCAATTCTTAAATATCAGTCAACCTATTGTAATTATGTTTTTTATTCAATAAAAAAACATACAGAAATAAGAAAAAACAATAACTTGAAGACATTGATATTCCAGCATCTGTTATTATCGGTTGTATAACGACACAAAAACTAACCAGATACTACTGATTTAACAAATATTTTGTTTTTATTTATTCGAAAAAAAAAATAATAACTAAATAAACGACTTTTATGCATACTACATCTGTAGGCAAATTTTAATTTATCAGCAATTAATTGACTGTGTTAAATCAAAAAATATACAATTAATAAGATGAAAAAAATTACATTGGAATAAAAAGTAATTTTTGAAGTCAGCTGGTGAATAATTATTGCACCACTTTTGTTTTGAGGAATATTCAATGCAATTAATTTTACATATACATTTGTACAACATGTAAGTATACATATACATATATATATATATATATATATATATATATATATATATATATATATAAATGACAAGCATATGGCTTTGAGTCAGTGAATTTAGGTGTGAGGGTGTAGAGAAAAGTGGAGAGAATAGAAGATTGCGTGAACAAAATCATGACAAGGAAAATATGTAATAAAGGGAATTTTAAAATGAAGATATATATAAATATATTTTTCTATTAGTTTTCATTGTTTCATCGTAAATTATTTACAGATGTTGAACTAATTACCGAACTTACAGTAGTATATTATTTATGAAAATGAGAAAATTAACTACTGCATTTTCAAGTTCGAACGGTTTTTTTTTCTTATTGAACCTAAATAAAAACTAGTTAGTTAATTAATGGTTTTAATTTTACAACTATTTCTCACTTTTAACGAAAAATATTTTTAAAAATATATTTTCAAAATGTTAATTACGCTTAAAGCAATGACTTTATCGTTTAAATTTATTATTGTCTCATTAGAAAAGTATGACTACCCTGAAAAAGTTTTTATTGGTTTTGTAATTTTTCGTTTATCTGAATGAAAATACTTATGTGTAATATTTTGTTAAAAACAATGTGCTCTCTAACAACAGTATCGAAAATCTTAAGCGTTGAAAGGTTTGAAAATTCAATGCTTTATGACTCCTTTAATTACACGTTCATTCTCACAGAACAAAAACTTAATGTACTCACTGTCTGTCACTCATATTTTGATCTCAGTTGACATTCAGGATATCAAAAT